GTTCATAATTTTTTAAATTGTCTAATTGTGTACCAAACTTGATTGAAATCAGACCAAAATTGTAAGAGGAGTAGCGTTTTGAACATATTTCACAGACATTTCTATATTTAATAACCATGGCAACATTCTTTATTGAAATCGAAATTGTTATACATAATTGTGTATTTTATTTAGTATTATATATACTTCTGTATCTAGTTTTATTGAAATCGGGCTATGGAAGAGGTATTTTAAAAGATCTTCTGACTAAATTCTATTTAAAACTGATTAGCGGAATTATGTGTCATGGGTACATGCAAGATTAGTTGAGTAAAGTTTAATAAAAATCAGACCAAAATTGTATTTTGAATAAATAGAGTTTCCAATAATCTCTTGGAATTTTGATTGACACAAATTGTGGTCTTTTATCAGCCAATATATTCTTATGAAGAGAATTTATCTACAACTTCTACATGGGACGCAGAAAATCTATTCAAAATTTCGATATGTTCCCCACAATAAATTAAAGTCCAAGGTTTTGACATGGAAATCTGCGCTTTTTCAATAAGAATGGAACTCGTAAAATTTACTTACCTTGTCATTGGTCATCTGCAAAATTATTCTGTCAAAAAAACATTCTGATTGTAGTTTCTGATTGACAATATCTATGTAGTTTTCAAGTCTGCAAACAATCTGTCGGAATTATCATGGGTACTAATTGCTCCCTGTTATTAATAGATCTATTTTGGTGTACATATGAAGCAGAATTTATTCAAAAACCTCTATATGAAAAGAAGAAGTCTCTTGTCGTAGCTTCCATTCGACATTTAAATATATCGACGAAGTTTTATAAATGAACAACATTCATTTTAATTCTTACTCTGAATGGGCTTATCACTTTGAACTCAAATAAAAGACACCAAAGAGTCTAACACATCTGTTTTGTATTTGGATATTTTATTAGAAAAAGACATAAATGGCAATCATACAACAGAACTTTATGATTAACGTGATGACTTCAACTTTTATATCTTCAACTTCCCTTATTTGTGTAGCACTATACTATTATCACCTGCATATGCAAGCTATTAACAAATAAGTTGATGATACAAGGATATCAACAATCCGGCTAAAATTCAACATTTTGCAAATTCTATGATCGATACAATGACCTTATCTGCTAATACAATATATTGTTTAGTCGAATGTTGACTGGCGTTTTTCACAGAAATTGTTAGGCTATTTTTTTAACATTGAATTGTCTACGGATTTTTCTGTTTACCCGATCATGACAAGGAGCACAAGGCGGGTATGACCGGCCGACAGGGATACTTACTCCTCCATGCATGGCACTTGATCCCACCTCTGATGTTTTATATGCTTGCTCTGCTCCCAATTTGTATTGTTCCAATGGACTTTTGAGCATCTTCATATTTTATCCACAACGCTTTATAAATTAACAATAGTTATTTTCATTTGTATATCACCTCAATGTATCCCAGTAAACAAGAAATAACAGACACCACAGAGTCTGACATATCTGTTTCATCAAATATGGAGATAACGAAGAGCAATCAAGCTCAAAGTCTATAGAAAAAATACAAAACAGAGCAAACATAGACCTCTAAAAACATCAGAAGTTGGATCAGGTCCCATGGAGGAGTAAGCATCCCCTGCCGACCGGTCACATCCGCTGTGTGCTCCTTGTCATGATCGGGAAAATGGAAAAAAAATCCGTAGACAATTCAATGTGTAAATAATGGCCTAACAATTAGTATGAAAAACGGTCAGTCAGCATTTGACTTTATGATAGATTGTATTTGCTGGCAAGGTCTTTGTATCGACCATAGAACTTCCGAAGCGATGACTTTAAACGAAACTGTTAATATTCTTGTTTTATCAACTTGTTAGTCAATAGCTTGCCTCGTTTTAGAAATTGTAGAGCATGCTCTAGCATATCGAATCAATAATCGATCAATTGGGAGATAACTCCATATGCAGTTGCTACTTAAGTAAGGGAAGTTTAATTCATCACGTTTATCATAAATTTTGTTGTTAGGTTACCATTAACGTCTTTTTCAAATAAAATATCCAAATATGAAACAGATGTGTCAGACTTTATGGTACATGTATCCTTTATTGCAAGTTCATATCATAGTTGGGTGTTTAATTGACTATAGACGATAATGGCCAACTAATAACCAATTTATACGACAAAAAGGGTGGCTTCAGCTTTTCCGTCCTCAACTTTCCCTATTTCTGAAGAAATGTTCCAATTTGAATAGGGTGTTTATACATATATCTCCTAAATGATTCGGTACGCAAGATCCTGTTACGATTACGATCAATTTTTCAATCGAGGCAGGCTACTGACAAATAAATTGATGTTCAGGGTTTTCAACTATCTCGTTTAAATTCAGTGTTTTGCAAAACCTATGGTCGTTAGAATGACCTTGTTTGCAAATACACCCTATCAGTTGGTTGTATTATGACTGATATGTTTCCCTCAAATGTTAGTCGAAATGTTTTTATACCAACTTGACTATGGATTACTCCATTTACCTGATGAATACAGAGGGCTCAGAGTGGCTATGACGAGTCGCTTACTCCTCCTAGGCACCTGATCCCACTTTCTTGTTCACGATTCGTATATTCTTTTCTGGATTTATGAGCTTGGTCACTGTTCGTTAGCGTCACATCTTACAGAAAATAGTCAAATGTCATTAACCAGGGAAACAAATCCAAACAAAAGACAAAAACAAAAAACGAAAACAATTTTTGATCTATACTGAGCCATAGATATTTTTTTTTCCATTTTGACAGAGAACTTGATTTAATAAAATACCACGAGGATATTCTATTAGGAATGAGGTTCGGCTTGTCTAGTCCAGAATTAGGCCTAGTTTATATTTTTATACTTGATAAAATTGTATATATAGCTTGTTGGTGCATTGCAAAAAGATACATCTAGATAAAATAGATGTTATTATTTTCAATTTTATGTAATGTCGTTTAAAGCTTTTATTTAAAAAAAAAAGCTATACAGCTGCATTTTACTGTATGTTTCACTCTTACAGGACACAAAACACAGGATGAGTATAAAAAAACTTTGAAAGAACAATGGGTTTTTTCTCTTAGACGACCTCTACTTGAAAATGAATTTCAAACGTTCAACTACATGTATTCTCAAAGTATCATGAATTTAGTTTTATCTCATGGTGCACTTTTTCTTATCTAAAAAAAAAGATAACAAGTTTTGTTATTGGCTCAAATAAAATAAAATCAAGTTTCGTGAACACCTTTTAATATAACCTTTTTTCACGAATCATTTTATTGTGCTTATAACTAGGGTAAAGAGTGTACATATGAAATTCTTTTAATAAATTGTATCATTATACATTTTATTCAAGAATCAGTAAAATTTTTGTTCTCAAAATAATAGGAGTGTTTTCAAACACTTTAAGATGAGATGTAATGAAATTAATCAAAAAGTTGCAGTTTGCAGCTTTTTAAGATCACGTATTTCACGGAGATTTTTAAAAGACACATAAATATCATGAAAGTTTTACAAGATAACTTGCAATTCTAAATCTGTATGGATGTTATACAGGATCAGTTTATGAAGTAATCTTTGGTACTGAAGATTTAAGATTAGAACATAGCTTTACAAAAAGAATGGGAGCATTACCAATGTTAACGGAACAGAAAGAATTGAAAATATTCACAAAGAATAATCTATTCAAGTATAATTTTAAATCTGGGATTGATAGACGTGAGTGCTTGCATGTTAAAAATAGAATACTAGTATCAAATTTGTTTTGAAATAAATGGAAAAAACCCAATGTCCTCATCATTATAACTTTAAAAAGTAGTTTGTAATTAATTTAACGTTTCGAATGTTTGAATTTGAACATCACATAGCGAGAACAAGAATTTTCTAAGATGGTTATCCTAACTGTAAAATTGGTTGCACACAGTTTGACTTTCAAATTAATTCATTGTCAAAAGTTATTATAACAAGGGTTTATATCTGAAAACCAGATTTTTGTTTGTTTTGTTTCTGTTTGTTTTTGTTATTGTTGTTTTTATTTAGACAGGGACTTATCCTATGGTGTGGAAAGAATGAGTACTTTATATAATAGAACATTAAAGAACAATCTTTATATTAACTTTGTATAACCGCTGTACCCGATGTCTGATAACTGTCGATACTTTGCCATGACGTCTTGCAGTAATGATGAATTGTCTCGTTACTGATAGACAATACGTCAAGTAGGAGGGGTTAAATGAAACTACAAGACAAAGAAATTCTTACAGAAAGAGAAACTAAGCTAATCTGGGTGACTGGAAAAGAAAAGCGTGGATTGAAAAAAGACGATAAAAAACCGTTTTGGTTAAAATGATTGAATTCCAAAAATACTTTTTCATTGTCTGACATTAAATTTTGTAACTGAAGATCGTTGCTATCCTGAATTGAAATACCAATTGTCTTTTTATTCATTCTAATACTAACAGTCCCCCCTAATTTCATACATAAAAATTCATCAAGTTCAAAAATTAAATATTGCTTAATGTACAAACACCTATAGACGTGGACGGTAACATTTCGATGATATCAATTTCTACGGCTAACATATCAGCTCCATCTCAAAATATTATCTTTTACTAAGTGTAACTTTAATTACTTGAATTAAAGTTGCCTCTCTAGTTCTGAGCAGTAACTCGTACATATTTCTGTTTGAATTCTTACTCGGCCTTGTGTGCCAGAATCATACATGCAAAGGTTAATGAAGTATTCGCATATTCATAATTGACCTTTTGTTAATGAAATCATATTTACTCGTCAATTGTTAAGAATGATTAATACTGTCTTTTGCTTGCTGAATATTTACATAAACAAAATTTGCGAACATCGATCCAGAAATATTGTAGGAGGTTTCGCTGTCTTTGCCAAGCGTCCAGCGTAACGGTCACGTGATTACATCTTATTTAAACACAATAGAGTCATTTACGAACAATCGTATTTTGAAGAGAAAGGGACTATAGTCTAGAAGACCAGCACTAGGGCAATAACTAAGACACACACGGTAAGTCACTCGTTTACAGCTCTTAAACCTTATTTTTTGGTTAAACTTGGAATTCGCTTATCCGTCTTGCTGTAAAATTATTGGCTTTGAAAAGAAAATTAAATTCTAATTTTAAATTCTTGCTTTCCATATAAATTATCTTCAAATTAAGAATATCAATCGACCAAAAAAACAGTGTTGCTGTTTTTTTGTTTGTTTGTTTATTTGTTTGTTTGTTTTTTAAGTTTTTATTATAAGATGTTCCTTTTTCAAGATAAGCCGATTGTTTTCCTTCATACATCGAAAATATTAAATTAACAAATCAAAGATTTATTGACATTGGTTTGTAATATTTTTGCATCACTTGATATTTGTAGTTTAGAAATGAACATGTAAGCTTCGTGTTTATCTGATGGTACTTGTAAGTAGTTGTTATTTTGAGACAGACGATGATTATTAAATAGAAATGAGAAAATCGGTTATAATGAAATGTCCAAACACTGCACCCTCGGGAAGATAAAATATCACCAAATGCAAGAAGTTTTGGATTGGACCATGTCCTGTCTTCTATCAGCTTTATTGTTATTATCCGAAAAGGCAGATAGACACAGATCTGCTGCAACAAGATAGACTCTCCATAGCATCATTCACTTCCGGCGAAGAAAATCAAACATTTTGATTGTGTTTAACTTGGCTCAAATTCAGAAGAGAAAAAAACCCATAAGGGTTTGTGGGAGTTCCAAGATTTTACCGGTTTAAGGTATCGACATAATTGCTTATTATCAAATATTTAAATGTCGAACTTTTGATATGATATTCTGCGGTCAAATGCATCTCAGGGGGGAATTGGTGAGTCTCCCCTGCACTTAATTCAATAAGATAAGGAATACTAATGCATGTAGTTTATGATCTGTTTGTACGAGAAACGGATTTCCTTGACCCAAATGTTTGGAAATATTCAACTCTAGACATTTGATTGCTTATTGTATAAATACAATTATCATCTTGGCCTTTGAAGGATGTTAAAAAGGGGATTTTTAAATGTAAAAAAAATATGAAAAGAAAAACTACATTTAGTATCACTAGGTATGATGTATTTAAGTTGATTTAAAATTATAGTATCATGTAAAATGGAAAATATTTTTCATTTCGGATTCCAAAAATTGAATTTCTTCAATGTTCGATTTCGCATGTTATATATGATGTTATCAATCGTTAATATCAGATAGATTTGATTCCCATTGTTGCTCTTGTCTGTATAACCTATAAGTCAATATAGAATAAATGATGAAAGGCCGTGAACCTTAAATTCTATTAAAGTTCATCACATCTGTAGCTGCCCGAGGCGCGCTATTTCACTCTATTTAGTAATTCAATATGACATAAATATCAAATATCCGAATCAGGAGACTGGTCACTTGAATTGTACTGGACCCCTGGGAACTGACTTGACGTTAACATTTCAATTTGCTTTGTCACTTTCTGGTAGTCTTGAATTCTTCGTCTATTGAGAGATTATACGGCATATTGAAAAAAAAATTAATAAATGATATGGCTAGGATTTTTTTTTTTGAATCAGAAACTTCAACTTTGTAGAACAAATTAAGGAGCAGTTGTCTTTTGAATCATTTTATGAAAGATAAAAAAAAAATTGTGAAGGACACATATTTTATACGTATAAGAATAATTGATGAAGTCTTAAAAGGTACATGTGCAATGTAACATACCATTATTTTTAATTTTAATTTTAGAGAAAAAATCCATGTATGTTAAAGTGGAGATAATTTAAACTTTATATTGACTATTGAGTAAACTCTAACAAGAATATAGGGTGCAAATACCTACACTCGTCACCGTATTAAATTCTTGATAAATAATGATCATCGAAATTAACATCGTATTATAGTGCCAATCACCGCTTTTGTCATAGATGACTCGTTCTCTAACAAGCAACGCAACCGGCGGTCTTTCATGTTAATCGGAAAAGTGTCAAGTTCAATAAAACTTCAGTCAGTTCTGACTTGTCTTCCATATTTGTAATGAGATTTAGGATAACAGTATATTTTGAGTTAATGGAAATAACGCATAATTATGACTGGGGAAAAAAAACGAAAAGTCGTAACCCAGGAGCGTTCGATTCCTGCGTCTTTTTGGGTTGAAACGTACGATAACCGGAAACATTCACAGGAAGTATAAAAAGGCAAACTATAATAACTTTAAAAAGCCCAGCATGTAGTTAATTGTTACAGCGAAATGCAGGTTTCAGTTTAATATGATTTTTGTAAAGCTTATACAGAAGATTTTTTTTATTATTAATTTATGCGTTTGCATTTAGAAAATACACATCAATTCCTTCATCCTTTTGTATTTCAGAAAACAGCGCGGCATGGGGACGTGGTCATATGCGGGATTGCTGGTCGCTTTCTTATTAAACTGGTTCACTGCCGAAACATCCGCAATAACTGGTTGTGACTACTTTCCAGAACTCTGTGATCAAGATATAGATGTATTTTTAGGTAGGAACACGGTAGTGAAATAATCCTAATTAATCAGAGCACACTTCATTGCCAAGAGAGTAGATACTGCTATACATTGTCATTTGGAAGCAACATAATGGTACCAGATACATTAGGGTCCAAATTAGAAACACGAATTTTAGATGGCGTTATTGTAGAATGTGCACCAATATTTTAAATTTGACTCTGTGAAATGATCATCTATTTTGAAAATTTAAATTTTGCATATATCTATAGTTAAATCAGTATGCAGGCTATGGTTCGGTATTTTTCATCAACCCGATTAGTATTTTTGTTTCCGTTTTTGTCATTTGTCAGAACAGTGATGGAAAAGTTACAGGATAAGTTTACAGTTTAAGAAAAAATAATCTCCAAAAATGGACAACTTTAAAAAATTACTGAAAGCGCGGAAAAAGTAGTAATGTACGTTAGCTTTAATTTTCCCCTATTATTCCAAATAAAAACATGTATCGTAGAAACAAGAAGGATGCTGTTAAAAATATCTCAAGGGGGAAAAGCCTTCAATAATTATTTTCAAAAACATTTTGTTCAAATTATTTTCAAATTACGGCTCTGTCAGATTTAACGTTCGATGTAAGGAGGCAAATATCCCTCTCTCTGGCTCTCTTTTCTACTGAATGGAGTTCTGTGTTCAAAATGACTTCTCACGAAATCCTAATTTCCTACTATGCAAATGTTAATCAAAGAACTTTTTAAAATAATTGTCTAGTTTTTCAAAGAATCACGAACCTATGTGAATTAATCTATATCTGGCACAAGTAGAATATTCTCATGCTGTCACACATCGCCTAGATTATTGTGTATAATGAATGGTGTAAGTAGCCCCAGTGACCACTTCCTGGTATAGGTTTAGAAATTCAAGATATTTTTCTAGCTTTAAATGCTTTTAAAAAAGACAATAAATGAACTTAAAGGGGAAAGAAAAATAATTTTGGCGGACTTTATTTTGATGATTAATGCTATCAGAAAATGATAGTTTGTGAGACTGTATGACAAAATAAGACGGAGATTGTTTAAATAAATGCATTTATTCCGCCTTAAATTTTAAGCTAGGAAACACAATTTTCTGAACAATTTGAGTAATACCGGGTTTCGGAATTCAAACTTAACAGTATTTTGACAGTTACTCCAGTTCCTCGGCGCAGTAGACACCCTATTTAATCAATCTCGCGAAATAATTTCAGGCTTTGTCTTAAACATCAAACGCAGTAATCACGGCCTTCAAGAATTGTCTTCCTCCGCGGTCATTATGGGCATGCGTTATCAGGTTTTACAAAAGACATCCGCGCTTTGTGGTCACCTCACATGAATACGTTTTAAACTTGTTAAATTTTACGGTAATGTAAAATTTGTCATATGTTCTCCTTGATATTTATTTATTTGAAATCACAAATGAATACCTAATATTCAAAAATCAGTACAAAGTTGTCATAATACACACATTGGAATTTTGTCATAATACACACATTGGAATTGTGAGTTCCTTCTGAAATTTCTAATTACAGAACTGATGTTTTGTATCAAAGGAAGACAAGGAACTTGCTAAATTTCTTTACCACAGTATTTTAATCTATGCAATATTAAATTCCTCTATTCTCATTGAAAGATGTTCGCTATTAATTGTACTTAGGAGGGTGTTGTACCTGAACTACTCTAAAACGTTTCCGGATTCATAGAGCAACTTTAACAATTTCTAACAAATGTTTAAAAAAAGTAGGAAAAATATTCTTTAAAGAAGCTTGAAGAATAGAAGAAAAGGACAAAATAAATTTTCATATGCTGAAGCATTCTTGATCATCTGAGTTCCTCGAATATTTACATCGTTTTAGAAATATAGGAAAGGGGGAAAGTTGATTGTCACATCTCCTCTTCCCACAATACATAACTTATTTGGATATAGCATATTTTCAGTTATCTAAGCCAATTTTTTTTTAAAGATAATACTTAGTACAAACATTTTTTAGGTTTTTTTTTATTTGCAGCATGAAGAAAGGGTTATTTTTGTCTGCAATTCAAAAGTGTTTAATTAAAGATATATTGATTTAATTAACTCAACTTTCCCTTCGGGGTGTGCAGATTTCACAGTGAATTTTCCACATGAATGATGCATTTAAAATATCCGACAGAGGAACAACTTATAAAAGCAAGTAATAATTTTATAAAAAGAACATGTCCTATTCAAGATTTTTATGTGATTCATTATTATTAGAAATTCCTTTCTATTTATATATCATGTAATTTTTCATGCAAAAGAAGTGATGTTTTTTAGTGATGTTTCATTCTGCTATCAATATTCAGAGTACAATATTGTTCACAGGTCAAGTAAGAGAATAGTTCTGAAAACAGCGAAAATTAAAGCTTAAATAAGAAGAAACAGATTATTTCTGTATCTCCTTTCCACAAGTAATCTAAAAATTGTTATTAACGCTTTCCTTTTCGTTGGCGTCGAAAAGGGTTATGATGTGATAACTTTAAAATACTCGTGGTCTATCCATAATAGTAAGCCTTCTGGACATATTCTGTGATCTTTTCTGGTCATACCTCGTTTTCAGTGTTATATTGGAATGGATCTGCCATTCCTCTTCGTTTACTCTTATGAATGAGCCATTTTCCTAGTGTTCACCTACCGTAAGAAATCAATAGATATTGTGTGACATCTTATTAAAGGTGTAAACCACATGATGCTATTTATTGTTCCCTCTTAATTTACTCTAGAATTTTTAAGAAATATAATTAACCATGTTTCCATCCTCTCGGGAAGTCTCTGTGGGTTTCGATAGCGTGACAAAGTTCTGTTCCTTCCTTCTCAGTAGGTTTCATATGGCGGTTTTCATCTCGCGAACAAAAATACTTGGATGATGTGCGTAACGCTTCTGGAAAAAAACGCATTGCTTCTTATCAGTAACTATCAACACTTCGTTCTTTTTTAAAATGAAATAAACGTGTCTGTTTTCATATTTTGGTCTCTTGGCAACTATTTTCAGTCTTGTTGAACTTTCATTTTTCGGCATACATACATTTTTTTGTTCAGAGTATCGTGAGTGATTGCATTTTTATATTCTTCTTTACTTCATTGTTTGATGACATTTTTGATTGAAGAATTTGGTCACCCCTTTGTTTTGTTTTGTTTTTTTTACATGTAAGATTTTGGAGAGACTTTGCATGCCTATATAGTCAGAAAGTCTACCCAGGTATAACGTATTTTTACTAAAAATGACGAAATGGGCTCACAGAGATACAATGTGAAATCGATTTGATACAGAAAAATAGCCATAAATTGGCAGGAATATTGTGTAGATTGCAAAATCAACAGCTTTTTACATCAATCAGATGAAAACTGGTGCTACCCTTACTATTAGACTGATCACCATCTCTTCTCGGAAGAGGAGATCGTCTGCCCCCATTTGTTCATTTGTTAGTCAAGATCATTGAACCACAATCAAATAATGGTCAGTTCGGCGTCCCAGAGAAGGAGACCACGTGATCTTGGGGGACTTCATATTAATACGATAATGACGGTGTAATAGAGACGGAATAACAAAGATGATCTATTGCTGTTCATTTAAGAACTCGATGGATAACCTCGTCTTTGGGATTCAATTAACTCCTGTGCTTTATTTCAAAGTCAAAATGATATTGATTCCCGTGGCCAGTGATTCATTACAGTATATACCCATATCAGATCTATATAGTACTATTCTGGATCCTGTTGCAATTTTTTTGTTTACAAATAATGGACTGTTGCTCTCATATGACGTCACTATGAGGAGGCGTAGGGTGACATCATTTAAGATGAATTGCTAGGTGCTACCAGCTTCCATTACCAATTCCCTGTGCATTTCTTTAAGAGTTTTCTTTTTCCTGAGATTGCTATGTAGGACAAACATCGATAGACTAAATAACAAGATAGGGGTCTGATTTAAAGAGCCGTTCTGCCATCATAAATTCCCTCTTGATCTTGTTACGTACAAATTCTTGTAAGGTCGTCCCATACTAGTCAAGCATGCTGTATGAAATGATCAATTTATCTCTATTAGGCCATTTACGTTGTTACCATGAGATTATCGATACGAATTTTTTTGGTAGGTCTGTATGTGTATTCAGAGGCTTTTGCCATTCTTTCCCCATACATGGAAACAATAGTATGGTGTTGTAAACGTTTTTAACGCTTTTAAGTTCATGAACCCTATATATAGTACATATACTTCACTGATGGTTGCAATCATTTGAGTTCATCGTTTAAGAAATTAAGAAATAATTTCAAATTTTTACAAATATTTATCAATTTAACTTGACCTTCAATGCTATTTTTGACAGACGCCAAAAAAGGGGTTTTCTCGCTCCACTAAAATAAAAGATTCTGATTTGCTGACTATTCCCTTGACGGGTTTTTTTCTGTTTTAACCTAGAAAATGTTTCTCTCTTTCTCTAATACCCTTTTAGGATCTGTCTTGCCTTACAGTCCTGTCAAACAGTAATTTCTCTGTAATTTATTCCAGTGATTGCTTGCACTACTCTACTGCAGCAATCAGGGCTGTTGTCATTGGATATCCTGCTGCGCTGAATAAATCAAACTTAGTGAATGGTCGTCCAGATTTATTTTCTTTGCAATGAAAAGAAACAATGAAAATATTTGGCTTGTCCCTCTAAAGAAGTTTATTGTGTTTCTTAATTAAGAATTCTAATGGCGATCAGAAATAAGATCAAGCAGAAATAAACATGTAATTGACTTATTCAAGTAATCAAATATATAAATCTCTATTCATCTGATTTTGTTTTTCAGATTTAAATAAGTTTTAAAAGTTTCTGATTAAAAGATTCATTGATATAAGAACAAGATGCTGAAAAAAAAATCTTAAGAAGTATACTTTTTCCTATGAATACGATTTTTTCTTCCACAAACAATTACGAATCTGCATTTTGTTTTTAACCACTCTACATGTACATGTATATATGTATTTTTCAGGCGAACCAAGAACCGCCGAAAAGAGATTTCTCAGATTTGGAAAGAGAGCTTTGAGTGGTGACCACTACATCAGATTTGGTCGTAACACTGACGACAAGAGATTCCTCAGATTTGGCAAAAGAGGACAGGAAAACAGTGTAGAAAACGACTTACGAGCGGCCCTTAATAAAGTTCTACAATTCAAACAGGAAACAGGTTTTCCATTGAGGAAAAGAAGATCAGCCGAGCCCCCTTTAATAAAAGATGTGCCAGAGCCCAAGGATAATGACAACTCGACAGAAAAAGAAGAGTCCGAAAAACATAAACGCGAAGCTGGCGAAGTCTCCCAAGACAAACGATTTATGAGATTTGGACGAACGCCTTCTGTTGACTCAAACCAAGATAGCATCTATATGAAAAGATTCATGCGTTTTGGAAGAGATCCTGGTTTTGACAAAAAATTTATGCGCTTCGGTAAAGACGGGAATGAGAAGAGGTTTATGCGATTTGGAAAACGAGAAGACGATGATATGGTTACAGATGATAAGCGGTTTATGCGTTTTGGTCGTGATTCTAAAGACGACACACTTATGGAAAGATTTGTTCGCAACGGACGAAGTGGAGACGACAAACGGTTTATGCGATTTGGAAGAAGCGGAGAAGACGAAAAGAGATTCATGAGATTTGGGAAAAGAGAAGATGATGAGAAAAGATTCATGCGATTTGGCAAAAGTGGAGATGAAGAAAAGCGATTTATGCGATTCGGCAAAAGAGGGGATGATGAGAAAAGATTCATGCGATTTGGCAAAAGTGGAGATGAAGAGAAACGATTCATGCGATTTGGCAAAAGTGGAGATGAAGAAAAGAGATTTATGAGATTTGGAAAAAGTATGGATGACGAAATGCAGGACGATGAAAAAAGATTTATGCGATTTGGTAAAAGTATAGACGATGAGAAACGATTCATGCGATTCGGAAGAAGTGGAGACGAAGAGAAACGATTCATGCGATTCGGCAAGAGTGGCGATGAGGAGAAACGATTTATGCGTTTTGGAAAAAGTGGAGACGAAGAAAAACGATTCATGCGATTCGGCAAAAGTGGAGACGAAGAAAAACGATTCATGCGATTCGGCAAAAGTGGAGATGAAGAGAAACGATTCATGCGATTTGGAAAAAGTGGAGATGAGGAAAAAAGATTTATGCGATTTGGACGTGACCAAACGGACAAACGTTTTATGCGATTTGGTAAATCTTTGTGATATTTCTTAAGTTTTCTTAAGGAACTTTAAAATATTTGAATGTAAGCAGTGTATGCGATACATGTATTATATTGTAAATAATGGGCTTTAATTTTTTTGATGAGAACGTTAATAAATTGTACATGTATGTCATTTCCGGAAATTACATTCAATAAATATTATTTTCTTATACATATTACATAAATTCATACATGATGTACTTAGTATTTTTGCCCAACTATGTTGAGCATGCTTGGGTATCATGCTTCGTTTATAAAATAGTTGTTAATAAAATTGTTTTTACTCATTAATTCTAGACATATTTTCAGGCCCTGTATTGTTTATATCAATAAGAATGGATAAAAAAAAAAGGATATTGAAGCAGATATATCTCCATAAAAAATAAACTCAAACTCTCTCTCTCTCTCCAATACTTGAGCTTTCTTTCTTAGTTCTTAATATTACAATGTGACCTACACTTGTTTTTTATCTGGTGTCTGCCCAGAAAACACTGCACCGGGGGATCTTCCATCTCTTAGATCCACATAAAAATACGATTCAATGCAACTGCAGTGAAAGAAATATTAATAACAAACCTGTCCTGTTTCTTCTAAACGTAAATTCTAATAGATGCAAAGCTATACATTTATTTCTGGAAAGGGGAATGCGTAGGACGATCTGGGAGGGTTAACCCCAGATTTTTTTTTTTTTGGTATAAATGGGTAAAATTTTGGTTGGATCTTATGCATTCTTGAAGTTTTTTTTCACATACTGGAAAAGGAATTCTAGAAACATTACTTAAAACAGATAAATAAAGACTTTATTTTGTTTCAAAATCCTACTTTTTCGATTTTTTAAAGGGGGTTCGCTCGCACCCAACTCACCTTGTTCCTACGGCCTTGATTTGTAAGAAGAGGTGTTAAATATAGTGCTTATTGCAATTTAATAATAAGCATACTTAAATCTAGGAATCAAATAAGAGAAATTTTAGGGAAAAATACTTTGTAAATGGTCAAAAGAGGAAAGGGGGAAACTTGGTCCCAAGAGGTCCCGAATTTTAGAAAACACCCTCAAAACAAAAGAATACTGATGAGGCTCTATATGCTAAGTAAATATTGTAAACCTAATGTAAAACAAAATCATTGGGCTTCAAACCCCTGAAAAGTTAGCAACTTACTTTAATAAAAATGCTGTATGTACTGTCATTTACTGGATTCTTTTTAAGTTATGTTAATTTGATGCATGATATACAGCATGCACCACTGTTAGGCATAAGTATTTTTATTATATAGGCACCAGGTTCCTGGGAATCGAAGAAGGGGGGTAGGGGTGGGGGCTAACATTGCAACTGTAGAAATGACATAGCCTTGAGTATTTTACCAACAACCTTCACCCCATCCCACCCCGAAAAAAAGGTGACATATTGCCAAGCACCTGTCGGTCAGGCCAGCCCATGTATTCCCGAACAATATCTCGAGAAGCTATTGTTTCACAAATACAAATTTGGTACGCTGGTACCCCTTAAAGACCCTTTTTTTTTAACCGTACGGTTACCTGAGGAGAGGGAGTGGTCTTGGTAGAGCTGGGACCCCTATCATTTTTAGATCACATTACGAAGGTTCAAACTACTCTGGACATAGGAAGATGTTGTCCTCTCAATATCTTGAGAATCATTTGCTTTATAATTACATGTACGGACATGAAACTTTAATCACTGGTACCCCATAAGGAGTAAATGACCCCTATTGAATTTGAAGTCACAAGGTCAAGGGTCAAATTACTCTACACATAAGAAATGTTGTCTGCTCAATATCTTGAGATCACTTTATTTGACAAACATCAAACATGGTATACTGGAACCCCCTAAGGAGTAGATGATCCCTATTATTTCTGATATATGTTTTTTTTGTATATTTCTGCACAAAAAATAATGAAGGAAATACAGATTAAAAGTGTATGTAGTAATTAAGTACAATTATAACTGTAGAACAGTTGAATATTTAGTAAGTTCCTTCTGTATAAATCCAAAGTTTTTTGTAAATTAGGAATCAGTGAAATGAAATGTACATGTATCTTCATGGCATATGGGTAGTAGTTTCACTATATATATAAAGTCAGGTCACATCAAGACATGTCACTACAGGCATATTTTAATATCTGTAATATGCGGATATTTGTTTGTTGATGAATTTTGGAAAGAACAGATTTGCTACTTTAAAAAAATCCGGAGGGGGGGGGGGTATTGTAAAATTCTGGATCCGTCCATGCAATGTATAATCATTTCTCTTCGTATTCTTTATGAAGAAAATGAGGTCTGATTTTTATTCTTGTTAAAGGCCAAAAATTATAAAAAGGCAATGTTCAGTTCTAAGTGACTACTGTTGCTTTTTTTCTACCATTGTAGATGGACTATGGTGGTTCTTTTAAATAATTTAACTGGGAAAATCGCCACCAGGAAACCATCTCTGAATTAATATTGAGAGGCTGCCATATTTTTGACAGTTGATGGATAACAATAAATCTAATGATCTGTAAAATCTGTATCGTTTATTCACGTGCACATCAATGCAAATCCTTGATTTTGGTAAGTCAAACATATTGGTAATAAATATCTACTAGAAAAGTGTCCAATATCTGCATCTGCAGCATATTGCTTTAAAATTGCTTGACCCAGTGGATTTTCACCAGGAAACGTCTGGCAGTGGACATGTTTAATTTCGTTAATCTTGTTGACGGCAATGTGCCAAACACTTTCCGGTAGGAAGTATCCAGAAATATATGTCCTACGTCCTTTGGGTAAGGTGTAAATTGCTTTGTGGTAATTACAAACTATTCCCCTCGTCAACTTGACTTGATTATGGAGATAACTGTGTTCCTTGACAGAGATGCTACCAAAGAGTTTGCAGAAGGAATAGATATAATTTGTTGTAAACACACCGGCTTTTTAGCGACAATTAATATAAGATCAGAAATAAATGTCCAAGAATGCAATTTCTTCAAATCCTTTGACTTACATTCATGTATTTAAATATTATTATTTCTTTTTACCATTTTCATTGAACGTGATATTTAAAAATTAGAACGGAAAATGATCTCGTCAGAACAAAATCGCCACATGTAAATGTGAGAAAGCAAAATATTGTGATGTAGAATTAGAATATGGAGTCCCACCTCTTTTTCCAACCTGGTATTTATAAGTTCACGTATGATTAAGATCTCTTTTTTTTTTTTTGGAGATATGAGACATTTGATAGATAGTAATATCTTTCTACCAAAGAATTTGCACAGCATTCCACGTGTGTTTAAAGCATAAGCAGAGATTGTGAAACAAAAAAATCTATATACACTGTTATTCTGTCTAAACAGTATAGACACCAACTCGAGTAACAGAATAGTCACTCAGTTTTAAAAATCAACTGAAAAAATCAAGGAGTTTTGAAATCTTCAATTCCATCTGAAGATAAATCAAATTTTATATTTCATACTATAAATTCCATACCTAACTGTCTCTAAACTGAATTTTTGAAACTGACAGACATACTAGTTAGGTAACAGAAGAATTGGAGGAAAGAGGGAGGGGATCGGTGACGTTGAGAAAAGTATACAACGATTCAGCTGACAAAATTGACAAGAACATAAAACAAAATAACTAAATAATAATATTAATAACTTTTAGGAATAGAATACTAATTTAAGCATTTTCCTTTTATCGTGAATACATTGTCTACAATATACCCTGAGTTTATGGTTGTCTTGTATGCATGGTCGAATTAAATGCGTATCTGTCTCCCAGTAAGGGTAAGCATACAACATTACAGTTATAATTGCAAACAGGAGTACTCCGACTCCATTATCCTCTTACATATTTAAATTCAAATGCTTAAATCTATGGTTTATATAGTAGTTTAAAGTGGCTTAGTAGAAACTTGGGGATTATGGGTTTTACTTTTGATACAATTAGTTTACTTCTTCTCCTGCAATTTTAATAATTAAATTTGTGGCATCTTAATAGTTTTTTAACTCACCTGAGCCGAAGGCTCAAGTGAGCTTTTCGGATCACATTTTGTCCGTAGTCCGTCTGTCTGTCTGTCTGTCTGTCCGTCTGTAAACTTTTCACATTTTCGACTTCTTCTCCAGAACCACTGGGCCAATTTCAACCAAACTTGCCACAAAGTATCCTTGGGTAAAGGGGATTCAAGTTTGTTCAAATGAAGGGCCACGCCTTCTTTCAAGGGGAGGTAATTATGAATTCGTGAAAAATTAATGGCATCATTAAAAAATCTTCTCAAGAACCACTGTGCTTGAAAATATGAAACTTATGTGAAAGCATCCTCAGGTAGTGTAGATTCAAGTTTGTTCAAATCATGACCCCCGGGGGTCGGGTGGGGCCACAATGGGCGATCAAAGTTTTTACATAGGAATATATAGGGAAAATCTTTAAAAATCTTCTTCTCAAGAACAGCAAAGCCATGATTGGTCATATTTACATGAAAGCATCCTCAGGTAGTGTAGATTCAAGTTTGTTCAAATCATGACCCCCGGGGGTTGGGTGGGGCCACAATGGGCAATCAAAGTTTTACATAGGAATATATAGGAAAAATCTTTAGTAATCTTCTTCTCAAGAACAGGAAAGCCATGACTGATCATATTTACATGGAAGCATCTTCAGGTAGTGTAGATTCAAGTTTGTTCAAATCTAAACCCCCGGGGGTTGGGTGGGGCCACAATGGGCGATCAAAGTTTTATATAGGAATATATAGGAAAAATCTTTAAAAATCTTCTTCTCAAGAATAGCAAAGCCATGATTGGGCATATTTACATGGAAGCATCTTCAGGTAGTGTAGATTCAAGTTTGTTCAAATCATGACCCCCGGGGTCGGGTAGGGCCACAATGGACGATCAAAGTTTTACATAGGAATATATAGGAAAAATCTTTAAAAATCTTCTTCTCAAGAACAGCAAAGCCATGATTGGTCATATTTATATGGAAGCATCCTCAGATAGTGTACATTCAAGTTTGTTCAAATCGTAACCCACGGGGATAGGGTGGGGCCACAATGGGCGATCAAAGTTTTACATAGGAATACATAATGAAAATCTTTAAAAAAAAAAAAACTCTATTTCTTAAGAACAGCAAAGCCATGATTGGTCATATTTATATGGAAGCATTCTTAGATAGTGTAGATTCAAGTTTGTTCAAACATGACCCCCGGGGGTAAGGGTGAGGCCACAATGGGTGATCAAAGTTTTACATAGGAATACATAGGAAAAATCTTTAAAAATCTTCTACTCAAAAACAGCAAAGCCATGATTGGTCGTATTTAAATGGAAGCATCCTCAGGTAATGTAGATTCAAATTTGTGCAATTCATGCCCCCCACCCCTCCCTGAACCACTTTTATATTTAAACTTTTCAACCTTTCAAGACTGAACTGATTTCCGCTTTTTCCTAGATATAGTGCTCAGGTGAGCGATGTGGCCCCTGGGCCTCTTGTTATAAGGTGATGCTTCCTTCCCAAACAAATTTACGACCTGATGGATTTATTGAACATGCATTTCTGGTATTAATTAATTAATAAAAGAGTGAAGTGTACGTGTTCCTGGGAAGGGATGGTATTGGCCTTGTCCTTCAGTAAAATACTGCTAAAATTCAGTATTTCTGTTTCCTGTCTGATCTCATTTTTAGATGAACCTTACAATACTTTAATATCAACATTTCAAACAAACAATTTCGTTGTAAAGCATGCTTACCGCTTTTATGTACTTTCAGTACTTTGATTCATGAATATTTCCATTTCTATTTTTTGCAGCCCGGAGGACCGGGCTGCTCTATACATATAAGTTTAAGGAGGCTGGGGGGTCAACAAATTAACCATCAGATATAACTTATTTTTTTAGATATGATATCTTAAGCTGTCAACTATCATTTGGCAAAGAAAAAATTCATACATTTTAGTTTTAAAATTTGATCATTTTTGTATATCTTTATATGGAGCTCTTCTTCTAAAGGAGATCAATATAGTCTAAAAATGGCCACGACCACCCAGCCTCTTTAAGTGTTGGTATATGGGGATTGAGGTGGGAGAAGTTATTCAGAATTAAAGGTTTCCTATACATTAAAAAGATTGTTAATCAGAATGTTCTTTCCCTTTATAAATTACGAGATACACAATATATTTACTTCCATAAAGTGAATCTGTAATATATATATATATGTTTTTCATATTTAATATATAAAGTTGCTTATCATTTACTATCGAAAAAACGACAGGTCCCTTTTTTTAGAACATCGAATTTAACTTATCGCGTAAAAACGTACTTTACACAGTTCGTGTTTTATATTCTTAAAGTGAAAGACATTTTTGAAAATAGGTGATGCATGCATGTGTCTGGTTTCAATTTATATTTTATGCAGCCAACATTTACTCGAGGAATTGATAAAGTTTAAAAGGGTATCGTTTTGTTCGATTTTCATCCGACTATAAGTTTTCAAAATATTCTCGACTATCGTCTCCATCATTTAGACGCATGCCTTTTTCACACATATCGAAGCGGTTTGATGATCAAGACTCATTTCCATTGTTTACTTTATTTATTTTCCGGGCGACAATTGATGGTTACATCAATGTTTTCTTGTTTTCTCTGTGATAACTCTTTGAAAGTTAGTTGAGTTGATTTCTTGATCATTCTACCGGAATGTAAATTTCGCCAAGCGATAGGTCAGGAGCTAAGGAGGCCTAATTAATATGCATGTAAATCTCGTGTGCATGTAAATCTTTGTGTATGACGTTAGTGGGCGGGGACTATTGAAATTGACATGGGAGGCCTCCTGTAATTTTAAATCTATTAGTCTACATTTTTTAGATCTAAATTTACAATTTTATTTTACAATGAAATGGAAATATAAGAAATCACTGTCTAGTTAGTAGAATATGCCGGGGACATCAACGATAGCTGGAAACGTGGGATAATTTATGCATAACGGGCTTCGCCCGTTATGCAAATTATCCGTCCACGTTTCGTTGATGCCCTGGCATATTCTACTAATTAGACAGTGATTCCTTAATAAATTCAGTGATATATAGCTGTTACACATAAAATGTCTGAACAGTTATTAGGCAAAAAAGAACAATATCACAGTTAATTAAACATGCAGAATATCGTCAGATCTGAATATTTTTTACATTTATATTTTATAATACCGTACTTAATATTATTTTTCAGTATATTTAAAAATGTATCATTTAAACAAAAATTCCAGGGTTGAAGAAGAAATCAAATCTTGTTCTCAATTTTAGTACTGTTCAAAAGAAAAGCATGTTTATTTTCATTTTTATTTACCAAAATGCATAATTATAGAGATAATTGAATAATTTATATTAATTCAAAGAAAAGAAAAAAGACTTAATTTTTACATGAAGGAAATATATGTGTAAATATTGTAGGATAGACTTTAATTTTAAAATGTTCGAATTAAATGACAGTTAATAATTTCATGATGAAGATTGCATATTATACATTTGAAAACCCCGGAATAATTTCAGCCAACAGTATCTCCTTCGCTTATTAGAAACACCGGATGTTGATGTTTTCATATTTCCCGCGAGGCAAAGGAAGAACATTTTTTGTGTGGCCGTCTTCAAATACGTAATTATATGGTACTTTTACTTCATATCAGACATAGTTATAAATGACCTGTTATGTAGCGTAATTTGATACTTTCGTGAGCACATTGTAATTTTTCTGCTTATTTATAGAAAGAATGAGTCAATGACAGTTGTGATTCTTAGTTTGAATTTCCTTTATAAATTTATTTATTTATTTTTAGCTAAGTAATGTTTTCAGATGTATGTTATGGGTGACTTTTCTACTTTTACAACTTATTACAAGTCGTATAAATAATAAATTTAGCAAAAGCACTCTTTTGTAACCATTTTCATATGACAACTTGAATCTCCGGGGATGTAGTCAGCTTGTATGAAAAGAATACATTTTCTGATAATATACTAAAAGCGTAACAGGAAAGAAGAATTTATGGCTAGACAGAAAATCGACCTTGGACTCCTGCATTACAAGTTAGGTTTAGTCTTTAGAGCCTCTAACCAACTACTTAGAATTATCTAACTGAGTCTCGGGACAAGCCCTCACCACAGTTAGAATACGTCCCATATACTTGCAATGTAGCAAGTCAGAGCGGATCCGCTCTGAAATGATTTTGATGAATACAAAAGGAGTTGCACTGAAAATAACTACCAAATTAATCATAACAAACCTTTTTGAGATTGTATATGCCTTTTAAAGGTGCTTAGACACAGATTTGAAGTTAATATTTTCTCAAATTTTTTGTATAATATCACGACTTATATATTGCAATATCATTTCACACGAAAATATAATTAAAAACTAATTTTATCTAGAAATTATTGGAACTACGAATTCCTGGACACGTTTGATTAACACATCCTTGCACTTTCACAAATTTTATCTTTATGCTTAACATTTAGGAAAAGAAGCGATTTTGTTGTGTATTAATGAAAAACATTACATCTATAATCCAGAAAATTCAGAGTAGAAATGTGCGAAAGCAAAGCCCCTCACTAATATCGTCAGCCCGTGCTCAGTGTTGTGTACAGAGTTTAACAAATTGAACACACCCGTGAAACGTAAACTGTTTTTGTAAACAGGGCACGAGCTCTGTTACTGTTAATGTTTACGATTCACCGGGTGTGTTCAATTGTTAAAGTCTGCACACACCACTGAGCACGGACTGACAATACTGTGAGTGGGTTTTGCTTTCGAACATTTCTACTCTGAATTTTCTGGATAATAGTTTTAATATTTTTCATTAATACACCACAAAATTGCCACTTTTCTTAAGTATTAAGAATAAAATTAAAATTTGTGAAAGTGCAAGGATGTGTCAATCAAACGCGTTCAGAAATTTGAAGTTTCAATAACTATGAGATGAAATAAGATTTTTATTATATTTTAGTATGAAATGCTATAGCAACATATAAGTCATGAAATTATACAGAAAATATTAACTTCAAATCTGTATCCAAGCACCTTTAACCTAAAAAGTAATCCATATAAATATGAAAATTCAACTCATTTTCTCAATGTTTTTTCCTCGCTTCAAATTTACACGCCATGTTGACATTCGGAAGTCTCTGCAGACTTGTCGAAATTTTGAAATCACTGTCAGACATTTGGTCTGACAAAGTCAAATGTTCTGCTGGACCGGACGAAGTTTTGTCAGACCAGATATACGTACTTTATTTTGACGCTGAGAAAGTAAAATAAAAACTGCACTAAAATGCCGTTTATTATTTTCAACAGCCTTCAATCTCACAAGTTTCTTTTCTTAGAATAGAGAATCTTTAATCAGAGACATAAATGGCACGTTTTATGTCTTTGCTGTAACAAATTTAATCGACCATCGTCACCACACGGCCATTTCTGCTGTTTCTGTGACTTTCACCTGCGAACCACAAACCCGATCTTTTTAAAATTTGCTTCACTTGAGATTTTTTTCAAACGGTCATTTGGACCGAAATTTTCTTGAAAGTTATCGGTCCAGACAAATTTTTATCGGCCTTGCCCACAGGACCGACGGATTTCGACAAGTCTGCTCTGGATTGTTCATAGAAATGCACAGAGTTCGAGTTATCGCCCGAGTTTATTTTGCTACATTGCCAATACATGGAATTCTATCGTTAAACCGGGTCCATAGGACAACATCATTTTAATGATAGAACGTTCTATCTATTAACTAACAAGCCAACCAGGTTTATATCCACAGTTCGTACATCCCAAATCACTATATTCCTCCTGCTTTAAATTGTCTTACCCTGGAAGACACAGAACCCAGATTCTTTAGCCCTTTGCTGGACTTTCATGTGAAAGTCCAGGGGTGACATCATATTAAACGGAAGGGGGAAATCAAACCCTGGACTTGGCATTACTAGTCAAATGCTCAAACCGAGCTATATGGACTGATTTCCAGAGTCCATGTAGCCCTTAAACCACAACAATAGGAAAAAAAATCCTTCAGAGTAAGGTACAGTGTGTAAACTAAAACTCAAAGATACCAGGAGTTTGCAATTACCGAGACCCGGGGCTACCAATTTTAGAGGTCGGGCTATCATAAATCTATACTGTGTTAGTCCGTCGGGCTAGTAAATCTAAAACAAGAGTATACATATATTTACATCGACTGAATTGATATACGAATTAACTTCGTTGTAAAATCATCCTAATCTTTAATTCGTTTTAACCTATATGTATTGTGTGTTGCTATCGCCAGTCATTTCATTGACAATTATAGTCGATAAAAATAGGGAGAAGTACCTGACAACAACAAAGCACAAACCATTATTTGTTTTATTTATTTCAACTTAAATGTTTTTTTTTTTTTTACCTTTTTGTTATACTTATACATTGTATTGTTTTCGGTAGTTAATGGGCTAGTGACTGGCAACCTCGGGCTAGTAACTTTGTTACTGCCACTAGCCCGACGGGCTAGTAACTAATTTTTGTAATTGCACACCCCTGGATAGATTTAAAATTTTACAGGTTATGATGTAAGCTGATAAATATTTGCGGAGTATCAGTCATGTCTACCACTGGAGTCTCACATAGGTACTAGTATGTCTTTCTTATATACTTACTGTCCCTTTTATCATATGAACATGTGAATTTCAATGATAGAGCAAACACTGCATTGAATACCTGGAATTCAACAGTTTTAGGACTCAACATTAACATTTGTTCCATCGTCCCTGTCCAGTTCATTTTGTGATCAGACAAGTCAATCTCCAGATACACTTGTCCGATTGGACAAATGACTCTTCTACCTTTATGGAATATTTTGAAAATGATTTGTTCTAAAATCCTACATAGTTCATTAACCACTATCATTCTTTTAAATTCGCAAAAGTTGCAATTCTTAGGGTTCAGTCTTATTTCACTGGATACTTATAACTGAGAAGGGTGATTGAGACTAGGTTACAGACAGGTCTACTGTATTTTATATCAGTTAATATTATCTATATCTACTTCCTTTTTAGCTCACCTCAACGAAGTTGGGGGAGCTTACGTAATACCCTCGGCGTCGGCGTCCCAGGTTAAGGTTTTTGGAGCAGTTTTCTTTTCAAGTACTTCTATGGCCTATATTAGTCAGAGATGCGTGGAGGATGCTTCTAGTGTGTTTCATTGTACCAGTCAAGGTTTCAGATGCTGCAATTTCAGCTAAAGAATGACCAGGTTAATGTTTTTGGAGCAGATTAAAGTTTTTGGGGCTGGTTAAAGTTTTTGGAGCAGGTCTCATTTCCAAGTAACTATAAGCCCTATATTGACCAAACTTGCATGGATGGTACATCTAAGGATGCACACTACTGAACTTGCTTCGGATGCTGGATCTGACCTATTTTCTGGATGAGTGACTAGGTTAAAGTTTTTGGAGTAGATCTCATTTCCAAGTAATTATAAGCCCTATATTGACCAAACTTGCATGGATGATACATCTAAGGATGCACACTACTGAACTTGCTTCGGATGCTGGATCTGACCTATTTTCCGGATGAGTGACTAGGTTAAAGTTTTTGGAATAGATCTCATTTCCAAGTAACTATAAGCCCTATATTGACCAAACTTGCATGGATGATACATCTAAGGATTCACACTACTGGACTTTCTTCGGATGCTGGATCTGACCTACATTTTCCGGATGAGTAACCAGGTTAAAGATTTTGGAGCAGATCTCATTTCCAAGTAACTATAAGGCCTATCTGAACCAAACTTGCATGGATGATGCATCAAGGGACGAACAATCTCAAAACTTGCTTCTGATGCTGGATTTGACTTACATTTTCTGGATGAGAGACTAGTTTTAAGTTTTCAGATAAGTCTATTCCCAAGTAACTGCAAGCCCTATCAGATCAAAATTGCATAAATGTTGCATCTAGGGATGCACACTCCTAGATTATTAGTTTAGTGTGGGACTTTGCCTTACTTAAAGACAACATTCGTTGAGGTGAGCTCTGTAATCTCTGATTACCTATGTTTTAGAAAATAAAGTTCTACAAATTTCTTTATACCTGTACAGAGTCTGAAATCAACAATGAATTCAGACAAGTAACATCCTTTGGCAGCTTATCTGATGGACAAGTGGATATGTTAGTTAATGTTGAACCCTGAGTTTCCTCACTTGTTGTTGCTTGTTCACATTTTGTTATTAAGATATTCATTTTTTTAATAACACATTTTGCAGTGGCCGTAGGAATGTGAAAAGAAAAACACTAGATAACACTGAACCTGCATCAGATCCGTCATTTAAAAACATCAGACGTTGTCCTCACAGTGGCTGCCCCACTAAAGTTCCTATTTGTTTTGTTGGTGCCACAGAGAGGTGTGTACTTAAGAAGACTTTTTTTTTAAATTTTTCTCAGAATATTAGATCCAGAGTTATTTAATTTCATAAGCTGATATACAGTATCTTTGTCATAGCGTAAGTCATTATTGATGTACATTTGTGTACATGTCCTTGCAATTCAGTTTATTTATTCTCTTTGAGTGATGAATTTCTCATCTCTAGAAAATGTGTTTCATGAATCAAGTTGCATCATACAGTTTTTTTTCTTTTTTTTTTACACAGATGTGCTGGGAGTGGCTACACATCACGCTGGTATCACACAAGTGCAGCTGAACACTACTGCAATGAATGTTTTGAGCATTACTATAGATGGTTGGTATTTTTAGTATAGGGCTTTCAATAAGGGGAGGAAGAAGGTGATTTTTCACTATTTCAATGATCAGAATTTGCTGCTTTCAATTTCATAACTGGCCAAATAAACCGTGGAAATAATTCTAAAACAGTCTCTTCAAATGAATAAATTCACCTTTTCACTTCAAAATTATTGAAAGCCCTGCATTTAACATGCTGTTTATTTAGAATGGAAACATGTACAATCAGATGTTAAAGAATAATGAACATTTGGTGTCTATACTTTGTATATTTATCATTAAAATTTATTACATCTGTTTTACAGTAAAGTTGATTAAATTTAAGTTGAAGCATTTTGATAATGAACAAATATTCATCTTTTAAATAAAATTAAATAAATCCATTTTAGCCACAAGGACGGTTACGAGGTGTACCTGGCATGGAAGAAGCTATGGAGCACTCACGGGACAACAGATGCCAGCATCAGGATGTTCATGACCAACAGCATCCTGCCTTTCTGGGTCCAGTGTACAGATTGTCACAAATGGAGGCAGTGGTCCAAAAGCTCTACACCTATCCCCGAATTCTTCAAAAATTATGTCTGTGGGACTATGGCCTCAGGAAAAGTTAGAGTTTCTTTCGATATACTTTGAATCTACATTATTATTCTGTGAAGAATGTTCAAAGCTGAAGAATATTGTCTGTCAAATATTTATACATTTAATAAAAAACAATTTGAAGTTGAAGATACATTTTACATGTAGTTCATTTTATATGGTTAATGTATTGTAAATGTCCTTGTTTTTTTCATCATAGAAATCAAAATTGGAAAATCCATGTGAAGTTCCTGAGGATCAGGTATGTTTGTTTGTCCTATGTCTATGAAATACACTCTTTACATACTATGCTGTGGTGTAGACTGAGCTAATCCAAAGGCCAAGTGATTTCAGAGTTCTTGTTAAATTTAAACATTATGGACAGTTACATTTAATTGTACATGTATATTCCAAGATATATATGTGTATTAGTAAACAGCAAAGCAATTGACAAGTTTTTCACCAAATTTCATGTACATGTATTCCATAGATAAACCTACACAGAGTTGTGGAAAACTGTCGGTCATGCCGGCAAAACCGGCAAAAAATGCGTGTGACCGGTAAAAATGCTGTTGATGTCGGTCCAAATGACCGACCCCTTTTTTGGTTAATTTTTTTTTTGTTTTTTCCATTTATCGTCGGCGCACTTCCTAGCTTAATTATCGTACCTTATATGCGATTGCGTAATACTTTTTCTTTACACGAGATCTAGGCTATAAATGAAAGCGAAACCAGCATGGTCTCGTGACCTATTAAATTTAAAACTGGGGCAGAATTAGGTAGAAAACATAAAGAAACAGATAAAGACAAGCTAAATATGAAAGAATTCAAACACAGTTGGGGAAAGCGGTAAGTCTAATACTTCCGACTGTCCTGGATTTCGTTTTTTCATCGATCGTGTTGATATCTTTATTATCGATGCACAGAATTCCTTCAATTTTTAGAATCATTTAATTCCCAAATGCATAAATGTTTCAAAAAAATCAAGTTACGTTAACTATGCTCACCTGCCCAAAAGCCGTGAAATCTAGTATTGTTATAAATGCAAAAAACGAAGTCGGAAGAGGACTTGGAAATGGAAACTGAATGTTATCTTATTATTAAGTAAATAAATGTGTAATGAAGTGAATAAATTTTATGCTTTTTTTTAATTTTGCGATTTAGAATTTCAGACCGGCAAAAATCACTTTGGACCGGCTTATTTTGTCTTCTTGCCAGTCCGAATGACTGGCTATCTGAAAAAGTTTTCAACAACTCTGCCTGCATCACTAACCCCTGGCAACAAGGTTGGAGGGGATATATAGTAATAAGCTTGTGTGTGTATGTGGGTGAATAAGAGCGTGCATAAAAGGAGTTGCACAAGTAATAATTTAAATTGGGATCAATATGATCTTTTGCTGGTGAATGCTCAGCATTGCATTATATCATTATATTTCACACTTTTAGAGAGTTGGGTTGACCCGAGATCCGTCGTGGACTCATCTATTGAGTAGTCTGTCCTATATGAAGAATTCACCTGCCTGGCCCTACCTTACATCTTACTTTCCTGACAAATTAGGCATGTGTCCATCCGACCATGAAGTCTTCAAAGAAAGAAAAACACCAGGTAAATCCAAGCCAGCAAATTCTGTAGATAAATAACAAAATCTTGCACTTTATTTTACCATAGAAATTAGTCTCTGTGCAGTAATTTATTGATCAAAGAAGGAAATGATGTAAAATGAAATGAAGAAAAGAGTGAATCTTAAAACTGCTTCGAATTGATATTTATGGAGAAAGTCTAGCATATTGAAATTTGAGGACAGTTTTCAGCATTTATACCGTATGGCTAGTTGACATGGTTGGACAGTAACATAGTTGATGCTGTATATTTTTACTTGGGCAGGTGATAAAGACTGAATTGAAAACAAGAATTTTATTTTTTAAAAAAAAGTTCTTTGTAAATACACTAAAGTTTTGTAATATCCATACAAAGACCTTGCAGCATTATGTATCCCTTTATGTTTCAGTGATGAACAAGTATCTCCAGCCATTTGTAGAAGTGGACAGTCCTGAGATAGCCAGTGGTGTGGTGCCTGATGTCATGGAAGAACTGGAGATGGACGAATTTCCCGAGTATTCAGCCATACCTTCTATGTATCTAGCTATTAGGAATATATGTCTAACTCTTTGGAACTTAAATTTTAAGGTGAGGAATTTCAAGTGTTATATGTTCCATGTGCAGTTGAACTTCAATTTCTCAAACAATAATATTTAGAATACCAAGGATTCATGTATGTCAAAATCATCAAGAAGTCCCAATCACTTTTTCTCTTTATATTTTACCCTCAATATCTCGAACCCTTGGATATCTCTGAAGTTTTTCCTTGGTCCCATCAAGTTCATGATAACGAGGCTTGACAGAATATTCTTTAGTAATTCTTACTAATTGATTTTTTTTTTCTCAAACAGGAATGGTTAACAAAAGAGAGGTGTGCTACCCAGATCATTTGCCGGGGTTTAGGGAGGGTGATGTATGTAGAAAGCTTGGACAAAATTCTGTGGTTCCTCACGAAGCGAGGCCTGATCAATGTGGGGCTACTCAGTATACCCAAGTCTCCCAAGGCTACATATATATCAAACAAATTTATAAAACCTGTAAGTCTGCCATGTTTTATAGTGGTTAATGTCAGTATTTGTTTTTGGAGTAATAGCAGTTGGTCGTGGCAAGTAAATTTTCTATAACTTTTACTCTTTTTTTAATTCATTTTAAAAAGACTTAAAGTCTGGATTTCCTAACAAACATTGTAACATTTGATAAATACCAAATGACTTTTCACTCATTTAGATACACATACCTATTTATGCTGTAAATGATAAACAATACTTTGAAATACATGTATTTACAGTATTATGAAGTACATGTTGTATTTTGTGTTTATTTATAGAATTTATCTGTGATAGTGATTGGGGCAGGAACAGCTGGTTTAGCGGCAACAAAAAGACTACAGGAACTCGGAGTAAAGGTAAGACAGCCAAGAATTGAGCTTTATAAAATACTCACAAACCTGTCACCTTTATTCAGCAATCACCTGATATGTGCTGTCATTTGAAGTATTCTATTTAATATCACTATTCAGTGGTCACCTGCCTGAGCAAAGCCTATGCAAAATCATCATTTTTCCTTGCCTGTGGCAGCCATTTTGTTCAATCACATGACCATATCTAAAGTTGGGTGATTTAGGGCTGAAACGATTCACCGAAATATCAATATTTTCAATATTACTGCTCGGTTCAATGTTTGATTCACTATCTTGATTTTCGGTTCGGTACGTTGTATTATATTCGGGTTTGGTTACTCCTTGAAGTAGATCGGGTTCGACCTCATTTTAATAGTTTGACACACACGAGGGAGAAAATTGCGACAGAGAAAGTTTCAGAGCAGGCTGCCACTGCTAGTATTGACATGAACAGAGTGCTCTTTTAATCTACAGAAGCACAAGTAGTGCTCTTTATTGTATCACCACCTTTTACCTTGCCTTTTGAAATCTGAATACATGTTTTCTTTAACCTTATGATTTGTTTCTTTTTTAAAATGTATCGTATTGAAAAAATTGAATGTGACACAAGTATCGCAATACGTACCGTATCGTGGAGGGGGTGTATTGTTTCAGCCCTAGGGTGATTCCTAACTTTTAGCTCTACTGGTCAGAGACCAGAAGAGCTTAAGCGATAGTAAGGTGTCCATCATCCGTCCGTGTGTAAACAATTTTTCAAAACGCTACTCCTCCTACAGTTTTGGTCTGATTTCAATATAACTTGGCACACAAGTAGACTACACTAAGATACATAATTCTGTGTATTCGTTTTTGATTTCGATGAACGGTGTGCCATGGTTACTAAAAATAGAAATTTCTTTGAAATACTTTCAAAATGCTACTCCTCCTACAGTTTTGATCTCATTTCAATATAACTTGGCACACAAGTAGACTACACAAAGATATATAATTCTGTGTATCCGTTTTTGATTTTGATGAACAGTGTTACCATGGTTACTAAAAATAGATTTTTCCTTGAAATACTTTCAAAATGCTACTCCTCTACAGTTTTGGTCTGAATTTAGTATAACTTGGCACACAAGTCGACTATACTAAGATACATAATTCTCTATACCAGTTTTGGATTTTGATGAACGGTGTTGCCATGGTTACTAAAAATAGAATTTTTTTTGAAATACTTTCAAAACAGCTACTCCTCCAACATGTTTTGTCTGATTTCAGTATAACTTGGCATACAAGTAGACTACACTGAGATACATAATTGTCATTATTGCTTTTTGATTTTGTTAAATGATGTTGCCATGGTTACTTAAATCGAAATTTCTGTAAAATTATTTTAAAAGGCTATTCCTCCTACAGTTTTATTCTGATTGCAATAAATCTTGCCACAAAAACAGACTAAACAAAGGATCATTATTATATTTATTGCTGTTGCAAAGTTTAAAGTCCAAGTGCTACTTTTATCTTCCTTTATAAGTACAACCAGTAGAGCTACAGTCTCATCAGAGACTTCTGGTTTTTGTTTTCTGCTGTTGATAACCTTTCTAGTATGGTAATTTCATGGGGAAAAATAATCAAGTCTTATTAAAACCATTTAAATAGTTAGATAAGCATAAAAAATTATTGAATAAACAAACTTTTAATATTTTATGAACTGAAAGAATGGTGTTCATTGGATCAAATGACCAAAAAAAAAAGCAGGAAAACATTACATGACTCTTAAATTTATGGTACAAAAAATAAAAACAGCACACCACTATATGTCTTTTCATGTGTATGATAATTGAATATATCATGATTATTAGTTCACGGTTTGGTATGCCCAACTCCAGTAGCTGTAAACATATGGAGTCCCATTAGTCCAGGACACTGTCTAATAACCCTAATCATGCTAATTACCCAGTACTTCTTGTATACGCATTGTTGTGAATTTTGCCCAGGGAAGATGACTGATAGGTTTAGTTACATGGTGACCAGTTATACATGTACTCCTTTGCTTAGGGACACCTGTGAATTTGTATTATGCACTTCTTTAGTTTCCCCCCTCTCCTCACCAGCTGGCTAAAAATGGACCGACTCAAAACTTTTTTCAACCTCCAGGAAACAATTATTTGTTTCTATTCATTCTTGGAAAATAGATTTTGAAAATTCAGCTTTGATATTGAAATTTTTGGGGAGGGGGGGGGGATTTTCCACCTACCCACCACCCCAATTTTTTCATCCTGAGTCGAAGAGGGCAAACAAACATTATTTTGAAGTTGGCCTAATAAAAACATATCAAGCTTGATTAATTTTGCTTTATTTTAAGGTGACTGTGCTGGAAGCAAGGTCAGAGATCGGTGGGCGTGTCTGTGATGACCAGTCATTAGGTGTATGTGTTGGGAAGGGAGCTCAAATACTGAATGGAGCTGTCAATAACCCACTAACCATTATCTGTGAACAGGTGAATTTACAAGTGCAGTAGTTTTGTTTGCTGTAAGGTATTTATAAATATGCAAAGCTATAGTTCCTTTGGATCTTCTTTCAAAATGAAGAAAGATTTGAATATAAGTTATGCAAATGTGTAAATAGCATTATAATAGCAAAAAAGTTCTAAAATAATTCTTTGGGAGATCAATTTGAGGCCTTCTTGCAAAAGCTTTTTAAAAGTACTGCGGCATTTTTAGCTCAACAATCTCTGTCAAAAACTACTTAACGGTACTTGTTTTTGATTCCTTTGAGACAGGCTTGTATACCCCTGGTGAGGCTGTCGGACAGGTGTGAGTTAATCAGTGAGAAGGGAGAACTAGTGGATCAGAAGACAGACAGCAGGATGGACTTCCATTTTAATGCCATTCTGGATATCATAGCAGAATGGAGGAAGGGCAGGGAACTAGCACATGATACCAGTTTATTGGGTAAATTTATTTCGGTTTTAAATGATATTAAATTGTCAAAGGCTCATACATACTGTAGTTTTTCAGAACATTATTGTCACCAGCAATGCAATTTATAAAGACTAGGTTATGAACTGCTCTTAAAACAATTCTAAGGAATTGTATCATAATTCATTAATGTTTTGGTATTATCAATTTCAGCCAAGTTAAAAGAAATGCACCAGCAGTTTTTAGATGAATCTCAGCTCTCATTCACCTCGGTAAGTATTGTGTAAGGTTTCATTAAATGTATGTAATACTTGTAACTAATACTGAATGTTACTCATCATGTCGCTATCTGCATATTTCACACAAAATCATCTTTTTCAATTGATTTTTGATAAAAATTTTGAACATACATGCGAGTCCAAGAGGAGAGCATACACTGCTTGTATACCCAATATCAATATAGCTATCACTCATTTGATAATATCTTTGCAAGTCAATAATTATATGCTTTATAACTACTTCATTCTTGAATTCCCCCCCCCCCCCCAAATCTCTACATATTTTTTCAGTGTAAACAATTACTTTGGACAAATCAAATTTGTTGGCAACTTGTCTATGGACAAGTGGATACTTGTCTGATGGGCAAGTGGATATTTAAGTTAATATTTTGAGCTCTGGAATTTTTAAAATCAATGCCTCATTGTGTTATGGATTTACAAGTATGTGATGACTGCTCTCAAAGTTTGGATGGTATATAGGAATCATTAAGTCCATCTGTCTGTGTGTCTGTCCATGCAGTTATGTCCAAGCCTTATCGCAAATCTCGCTTGAAAGTATACACTTCGACCGAAATAGCGTTGCGTTGAGTGATGACACTATTGGATTTGATAATTGAACAATTTGAATCACGGGTTGCATTTTATAAAACATGCATTTTAATTGGTGGATTAGGACCCGCCCACTCTCGTGCGGTATCCTTTGCTACATATATTTGGAAAGCGTCCAACGGCCTAGCCAATCCATGTTTGATGGTTGAAAGCTAATGTTGACTTTTTGAACTAAAGAAAAAAGAAACAAACCATAAAATCATATTTCAGCATGTGATATTCCTTTCACATACGGTACATGTATATTGTTCAATGACGAAAACTGTTTTATCCTACATGTATCTGCCGATTTCCTCTGCAATAAATTGACGCATTTTCCATTTTCGGTGTTCGTTAAATTGAATAGTCTGTGCGACTTTTCGGCGCACTAAAAATCTTTTTCTTTTATGTTTTAGTCCCTAGTGAGTGTAAACAAGTGAACTATTACATTGGGTAGGTAAACTCAAGCAAATTAAAAACTCGGGTATTATTGTTAAGCAGAATCCGGGATGTCTCGCATACCCAGCTGATACCTGAGCACTTGTTATTGAAAAATATATATATATTCATAGCTGGTAAAACAAACTTCATTCAAAAGTTTGTTTTTATTACCACAACTGTCAAAAATACCATGTTTCAAATGTGTGTGTGCTACTGCATACCCATTTTAACAGCCGTCATGGCAATAAACAAGCGACCAGAAAAATCGAAATGCTTGTGTTTTTTCAGTGCAATTTTTACTGCAACGGCGAATATTATTTATATATTCATTATGAAGTAATAAATATCATATATACTTGCATGTTAAAAAAAAAAAATAATTAAACAATATTCACCGAATCTAAGTACGTTTAATTTTATTGATGTACTGAAGAAGAAAACGGGGGAAAAAACGGCAGTGTTTTTCAATCGCAGAAATATGCCCCGGGTACATGTGAAGATGCATCATCTGTGTATGAAGTCAACTCCTGCCATTCCTGGCAGAGATTTTATTTGAAAGACCATTTTACAGTTTACCAACACTCACAATCATTTAATAAGGTATTGCATCGTCCCACTTACATACATAAGCGCTTTTGCCCGTTTTCTATCTTTCTTGGAAACATTCCACGTTTTCGACAATATACATTTGAGAATGTGGGCGGACCTATAAAAATGCACCAATCAGATTCTTTGTTGGATATCGCAATGGCGTGTCAGTCAGATTCAATTGTATTTCAGTCAGATTCAACAGTGTCGTCACTCAACGCATCACTATTTCGGTCGTAGTGTATACTTTCAAGCAAGATTTGCGATAACTTTGTAGTTGAGAGACCTTAGAAATTCAGACTTGACACAAAGATTGCTTATGACCCCAGGCTGTGTCATGATCTTGGCCAATGTAATTTGGCAATTTCAAGGTCACAGGCTGAAAAAGTGTTTATAACTTTGCAAGAAACATTAACTGCAACACTTCAAAAAAAATATATATATATTTGATTTTAAGTCTTCTTTGGGCAAAGGTTGAAAAAACACATAATATTCATATGACTGAGAGAGGCCTTTGGGCCTGTTGTGTCTTGAAAACATACATTGTCATTCACCAGAATATTGCACACGAAGTGAATTTATTCAGGAAGAAAATCTAACTTAAGAATTTTAATTGTTTTCCAGGATGAACACCAGAAGATGATTTCTATGTTTATTGTTAGGACCTAAATCTTTGCCTTCCCCCTGTCTTGAAATACACCCATCATTTTGGCAACATTTTATGAAAATTCTGTTGAAGATGTATGGTTTAACTGAGTAATTACAATGTATCTTGAATCATTATATCATTATTAATCTCAAAAAATCAAGTCCTCCTCTGCAAATAGTTATATCAAGGATTTCAGCAGATACTCCAGTACACAGTCTTTGCAACATTGCATGCGGACAGAAAAATTAACAGGAATTCTATTGCACTTTACACTACAACTGAATTCCGTATTAGTGTTGATACAATATTTCACTAAATATTGCATGAAGATAGCTTTGGTTTGATTTAAACAGCTAGTGTACCTTCATAACCTACAAAAGCAAATTCTGTGCTTTATAACATGACCAAAATGATGAGCAGTATTTCCTAACAACTCCTATTTAATGCTAAATTTATGTACATTTTTTTTTTTCATGAACAGGAAGTTGTGCATGAGTTCTGTTTTTTATGTTTAGTTATTTTTTGTGTCTTTTGATATTTGCATGAGCATCTATGTACTGTGTGTCAGGGCTGGAATTGTTGGAAAGTTTTTTTTTTTAAATTGCAAACAGCAGTTTACATTTCCTTTCAACAAATATTTTTTAACAAGCCTTATATTGTCTATAATTTTAAAAACCATATAAAAGAAAAGTATGTGTACGGTAAATCACGTTTTATTCGTGAGAACTTTATTTTTTGAGTAAATTGCATAATTACATGAAGCCATCTGCTCAAAATTATTTAATTCTAGTGTATAATTGATTTACCATGTTAGCAGAAATTTTAGCGAGGATTCAGTTTTGGCATTTTTTGCGAGGGTATTGTAATCACTAAAATTGAATATCGCTAACAATTTCTTCTGCATTGGAGATAACCATTATATTTCTTGGTATCCTAAAATCGTTGTAAATCGCTTTGAGTACTTCTCGCTGAAATTACAGTGTATATACCAATTTTTCAGGAAAAATTGCTAAACTTGCGTCTCACTTAAAACTCCACATAAACGGTGTATCTGATTGTATATAACAATAACTGTAATTTGTGAAAATTTTGTTTCACTTATAAATATAATATTACTATCTTGTTAAAATAGGGGTTTTGATAACATGGTGATTTACAGTTATTTCACTGGAACCTACAATTGATACTTACATGTAAAGTGTTTTAATTCTCAGTGTCGTCCTTGTTGACCAATAAGCAATTACATGTACATCATTCAAAAATTAGCATTTATTTCGAGTTCAGTAATAATGAGTTTAATTATTTCAAAACTTTCAAAAAATCGAATATTAGATCATTTCTTCAAGTGAATGGCTTCTGATGTAAAGATGGTTTATGTTTAAGGATGAGGAATCCCTGATGAACTTCCACATCAGTAACCTGGAGTATGCTTGTGGGGCCAATCTGAAGACTGTGTCCGCCATCCACTGGGATCAAAACGAGGACTACCCCCAGTTTTGTGGGGACAATCTCATGTTGCCCGAGGGCTACTCCCGAGTTTTATCTAAGCTGGCAGAAGGGCTGCACGTAGAGTTGAATACACAGGTATGAGATGCAGTAAGCTTGTTATACATGTAATTTAATGACTGATGTTTTCATGCCCTCTTTGTGCTTGAATACTTTAATCAAAATTCGCTTGTTTCTTATTGTCTAGCCTCAATCTTTATCAAACCAGTGTAAGTTATGTACTTGCATCTCCATGGTTTCAATAGTGAATACTTTTTTCAAATGATTCCTCTGTGATGTTTATATTTATTACTATGATTTATCTCTTTATATTCTTACAACAATTGCAGGTTAAAAAAGTAGAATACGGCGAGGAAAAAATAACTGTCATCTCAGAAAAGGGAGAGGAATGGAAAGCTGACAAGGTACCGTATATACTCGCCTATAAGTCAGTATTTTGGGAGTTAAATTTTAGTCCATAAGTCTATGTCCGACTTATAGGCGAGTCATAAAAAGACAGGTATTTTTCTGGATGACGAATCGTAGAATTCTATAAACATTTTCAACAGCTATCGTTGAACAAAGTCTGGATATATTATATCATTTGTGTATTATAAGATTATACATAAATTACATGTATTTTATGTACCGGTACATTTATATAATAACTTTTTTTTTTTTAAATCTTAAGAGGGGACTTTTGTTTGATTTAAAAAGTCAAATAAATTTCTAAAAATATTAATTGAAATCAGGGTAAAACATCAGAGTATTTATTAGAAATTGTCATCTGATTCTGGCAAAAAGTTGTACCGACTTGTGGGTCAATGTGGGTCAATGGCAAATCCCTGCCAAAACCTCAAAAAATACAACCGACTTATAGGCGGACCGACTTATAGGCGAGTATATACGGTATATAACAGCTGGTGATGAGGTGTCTGCTGAGCATGATGGACACACATTGAAAGCTTTGTCTTCTCTTTATACATATTTCTGTCTGTCTTGGTGAAGTCTCACTCTTACACTGTGTTCCTCATTCAATGTTCAGATTACATGATAATTTTTTTTCAGACTTTCTGTTGAAACATAACATCTCAGATAATAGATAATACGATAAGTTTTTTTGGTTTTTTGTTTTGTTTTTGTTTTTTTTTTGTTGTCATTCTGATCTATATTATGCAAACTCTATTTGATTCTCATGCTAGAGATCATTATTATACCTATATTCCCTAAGTCTTGTTTATATTGATTTCATTATAATGCTTAACATGCATGAATTTAATGAACTTGACATTTGACTTAAATGTCCCTTAAACCTGACAGGTGTTGGTGACACTTCCCCTGGCTGTATTACAAGACGATGATGTAGAGTTTGTCCCCACCCTACCAGAGTGGAAGTCAAAGGCCATGAGGTCATTAGGAGTGGGGAAGATAGAAAAGGTATTAAAGATAAAACTTAAATATCATTGCATACACTGAGGATGGATTCTAAATTAAAACACACACACACACACAATTTTTAATAACTGTAAAACAAAATTGGAAATTTTCTTTTAAAGTACCACTGCATGCAACTATTCTACAGATGTATAAAATAAGATATAAATGTATTAAATTTAGTGCACTTTTGATAAATATGGTAGTGTACATACCTTTTAAGTGTTTCCTATTTTCAGGTCATATTAAGATTCCCTAGACCTTTTTGGAGGAATAAGATTAAAGAATGTAGAGTGTTTGGTCATATTCCTAATGATCTAGAGAATAGGGGCTACTTCAATGTGTTCTATGACTTCTCTGTGGAGAAGGTTTGTTACATTTAGATTCTCATCAGATATGCTTGTTAGAAAAAGGAATAAAAACAAATGTTAATGATTCTTCTAAGATTTTCAAACCTTATAAAGAGAAGGTAAATTTGTATTTGAATATAAAAAATATATTGAAAATAAGTTTGTTCGATTAACTTTAAGAAAATTGATAGAAGAGTTTAAGCTAATATCTTTCACAGTATATTGTTTGATGTTTTCTTTTAATACACTTTGCATTAATTTCCCAGTAATCCAAATCCATCGACATTTTTCTTTCTCTCATCTAACACTGGTTTTCTTGCAGGTGGAGAAGATGTACCTATTGGTGACCCATCTAACAGGAAATGCCCTTATACTACGAGACAGGCTAGACAGGGATATAGTGGCTGCCTGCATGGAGGTCCTCAGACTCATGTTCCCAGAGGAGGTCAGTTTGTGAATTTGAAGTGGAATGTAGCAGATATATGTTTTGTTTGGATTCTGCAGTATTGACACAGTCTAGCATATAAAAAAATTCTGTCAAAAATTAAATACAGTGATACTGTGTTTTATTTAAATGGTATTCAAAACTATTTAAAAAAAAAATCAACATTCAACCCTTCTTGATTGCAGACAGTCCCAAAGCCACTGGATTATTTTGTTACAAAATGGACTAAAGAGCCGTTCTCCAAGATGTCCTATAGTTACATACCTATAGGAGTGGATGGGGACGCCTACGATATCATGTCACAAGACGTGGCATCCAAAGTCTACTTTGCTGGAGAGGTAAATGGCAGACATGATTCTTAGATCTATCATCTATGCTACATTTTGTACTTGGTAGTTAGAAAATATTTTCTAGTTGTATTGCATTCACACTTTTCAGTAAAATAAAAATAACTTCTTTTAAAATATCCAAAAAAGCTGATACATGTATTTAGTCTAATAATGTACATGTGTGAAAAGGGTAATGCTTCCAGTGATAATGTAAAATTGCTGTAATGTGGAGTGCAAATTTCACTGGACATGAGATTCATCTGAACAGTACACTAGCTTTTAGAGTATCAACACTCACAGGCTTTCTACTGTTCCAACTTTTTTTCTATATTTTCCTCTTTTTATTTTTTGATCCTATATTTTCCTACTTCTCTTTAAAGTCCTCCTACTCTTCCCACTTTTTTTAAGTTACAAAAGTAGAAGATAATTATAGCAATGTAGTAGAAAGAATAAAGAGTGAGTGGAATGAAAAAAAAACTAAACAATTAAGATTACAAATCAAACTGAAGAAGCACCATATCCACTTTCACATTTTCCTGTCAGAGTTATTGTTCTTTGCCAAGAATACCCATCAGATGTAGACAGCTACAGTGTCTGCTGTTTGTGGGTTCAACTTTCTCTGTTAGAAGTTAGTATTCTATTTACTGAAGAAAAAAAAACTCTTAAGAACACTTTCAGAAGCACAAAATGCAAAAAAAATATTCGGGACTTTTTTCAATTGAAAGAGAATTGGAGACCGTGCCAAATTCAAAAGTTTGTTTTGGTATAATAAAAATTTGTTGCATGAATGTTCGGGAAATACCTTGGGAAATGTGATTCTTCTTGGCTGAATAAATCTTCCTATTTCCTCATGGTCATGCAATAAATGTATAATGTTAACCATATTAATATGCAAGCATCCCAATAGAAGTAAGGATTCATATTTGTAAATATTCTTGGCTCCTGGGGCTAGAGTGGGGCTAAATTGGTTCTCAAAATTGGGATTAAATAGGAAATTAACAAAAATTTAGAGAATAGCAGGGCAACACCAATAATAGTAATAAACCAACATCCTATCTTCTGGATTCAGATATGTTTAAATTGAGAACACTGGGATTAGGGTGGGAATAAATCAGGGAGGAAATTTTACATATACATGTTAAAAGGGAAAAGCAAGGTCACATTAGTAAGTTGTATAAATATCAGAATCCACATGTTGTATGGATACAAGTTTAGTGAAGTCATGGTCTTTGGGGTTAAGGTTGGGTCAAAATACGAGGTCAAAATCATCATTGGAATATGGTTATAAAAAATCTAAAAAATAATCTAAAGAAGAACAGTAGGGCCAAAGTGATTCAGATGAGCATTGTGGCCCATGTGCATCTTCTATTTAAAAGTTTATTAGCTTAAGCAAAGATGCAAAATATTGAAATATTGTCAAAATGATTATACAGTCAAAGATATAACATTTTTTTTTCCAGAAATTGAATCTTATTTCACCCTTTTGCATCATTTATTCTGGAAAACAGAGAATATTTAAAATAAAGCGATTTCTAAAATGTGTTTAACAGTTTAGGTTTCACTGAGGATACATTGTTGTGAATTGCAGGCTACAAACCGCCAGTTTCCCCAGTCTGTTACTGGAGCCTACATTAGTGGTGTAAGGGAGGCACACAAAATCTTCTCCACACTCGTAGAAGATGACACATGAAACTGATGACTTGGACTAGATCATGTTGTTATAACATAACTTAATTTCCTGATGTCAGTGAAATTGACAGTCTTCATAGACAATACACTGTCAGCAAGGGTTCGTTACATGTACTACCTCAACCTGCCAATCAGAGTTAGAAAAGAAGGATGATGATTGACGGACTCGATAGCAAAAGTTCAATACAAAACTAAACTTGATAAAGGACTTCGAAATGAGATAAGAAAATTACGGTGACTGTTTTCAGTTTATTTCATTTTCTTGTCACTCTCAGAGGGAAAAAAACAACAAACAAGTAACATGCTATTGTGAAAATTTTTAATTCTAAGGTTTGTTTTCTGTGAAATATTTTTGTATTTGATCAGCATACATTTTGAGAAAAATCTTCACTTTATGTCAGTGTACAGTATGTGTGAAATTTTTATGCACCATTGATCATAGATCCAAAATGTTTTGCTTAATAGCAATTTTTTTTAAAATTTGAACTTTTTGTTCATTCATGAAGATTTACTTATGATTTATATATATACCACCTCAGTCTGAAGTGTCATCTCTCATTTTGTATTATTTATATACATGTACATTAATGTATCTCTCAGCTACTGTGGAATCATTTTAATTCGTGGGGGTCAATGTTCGTGGGCAAGGAAAATTTTACTTGTTCGTGAGGACGTAATTTCGTGGATTACTCGTTTATAAGGTAGATTCAATGAATCAATGTGTTTACAAAATAAACGTTCGTGGGGATGTATATTCGTGGCTAAGGATGACCCACGAAATCTACGAACATTGGTCCCCCATGAACAATGATGATTCCACAGTATCCATAACTTGCTTTATATTATAGTGTATTAAAATGTACTAATGTAGTTTTTAAGTTTTCATATCATTTTCTGTCCTAGCAATTGTTATTTTTGAAATGTTGAATTCAATGCCAAAATAAAAAAAAGTATGAAACAAAGGTGTGTTTGTAAATCAAAACTTAAGGATGATATGCACTCAGGGTTTTAGTTAACACAAACGAATTGCTATAAAGTACAATATTTTAAATCAAAAAATATTATGAATGGACAAAATGACCATGTAATAAATCAATATTAATATAAAACTTTATATTTTTTACGATTTGAAGAAAGTATGCAAGAACAAAGGTAAATTTATTTTAATGCAGAGGAAATTCGGACGAATTTTTTATTTTTTTGTAATTTTCATTTTTTCACCATAATTATTTTCTAACAATGTTATTCTGAAATTTTTTAGGTATTTTCTGACAAATAACCAAAGGCCCGTAACATGAAAAGTAGGTCATTGACCTATATAGTTATTTGAGAGCAAATAAAAGCACTACAAACATAGGTCAATAATGTACATTATTATATGATTGAATATTTCCTATCTCTCTGATTGCTTGGGATCCAACAGTGTAGAAAGAAATACTGTTATGTTCACCTGCATGTGAACCTTGTAGGTGAATATAAGAATTTATTTTCTTTACATTGGTCTAAAAATAGATCGGGAAATACCAAATTGATACAAATAGTTTTGGAAAGCTATTTCACTTGCTACCGACTTCCACTCAGGTGAACCTAAGAATGGCTAAGATTAGGGAATATATAATTTGGGGAGGGGGTGCAGGGGACCCCCACCTTAACGTAAATTTTTATTTTAATGTAGACTTTAATATTTATTTAAAGGCTGGTCCCCCACTTAATTCTTAATTAATCCTTAATTCCCCACCCCTCATCCCACCCCAAAACAAAAAAATTAAAAGAATTCTCTTTTCGTGGGGGCTAATTAAAGATTTTTTTCAGCTGTCAGTTTTTCCTAATGATGCCCCACCCCCCACCGCCTCACTTCAAAATTCAAAATTGATCCTATAAAAGAGCCTGGCATTATTTCTTTTTATTATAACTAAAGTAGATTTTAAAAATTCCAAATTAATACGACTAGTAATATTTATTTAACTCTGCTTCTCTCATTGCATTTGGGTAGGACTTCAGCAAATATAAACAAGTAAGATAGCATGAACTGCTTAATGAGTTTAATTTTATCATTTAATCATTGAATCATATATATAATAAAACAATTATTGCGGGGTTTTTTTTCAGTCAATACGATGATTTAGCCACCTTCAAAGTACAATATTCACCTCGCCCTTTGGGCTTGGTGAATATTTTACTCCTCAAGTGGCTTAATCATTGACCTAAAGAATAGCAATGATTGCATAATATTTTTGGTACAGTACAATGAAATACAGAATAAGTTATTCGAGGAATGTATCTTTAGACCTTAACCATTTTGGAACTGGGGGCTCTAATGGTTATGTATGTGTAGATTTTTTTTTTACTTTACTTTAAGAGGAGTTATTCTTTTTTGATTATTCAACTATAATGATAAATCACTGAGAGTAATGTACATTAGCATAATTGATAGGTATAAGATTTTTTATTGTATCATAGAGAAAGTAGCTTGAAGTTTTTAGTGGTTAGATAGACTTGTAAATAATAGATAAATAAACATTGGACAAAAAATACTTTATATTTAAATTTGTACCTTTATAGGTTTTAATGTCAGGTAGATTTGTAAGTAATAAATAAAAATTAGACAAAAAAATACTTCATATCTAAATTTGTACCATAAATATTAGTTTAAGAACAAGACAGGTTTATTTAAAGGGTTTGTACTGGGTATATTTTGATTAATCTAGTTTCAAGCTGATGTGCTTTATAGTTTGTAAAATTGGTGATACTTACAAATGGGAGTGTAATTAGCACTGGCATATACAGGCAAGTTAATAAATCTAATTTCAAGAATTCTTGTAGATTACCAGACAAACTATTTTGTCGATCCTTGATCGCCCTATTTCTCTTGTTTGTGAGCAACATATATTCCTTGAACAGTTTATTTTGCTTTATTAAATAATTATCAAATTGTCATGCCTATACCCGGGTGACCGTTAAGGCCCTTGGGCCTCGTGTTTCATTTTAAGGAAGAAAATGTTGAATAATTTGGCCCACGAAAAATTGAGATATGCATCAGTTCTACATGTAATATAAACATGATAAAATAAAGTCACTCTATATTTTCATGTATGCGATAGAATAATAATCGTGCAATTAAGCCCAGTTCAGTTATACCATGCTCTGTAATGCTCAGAACTGGAACCTTATCAAACTGGCATCAGCTGGTTAAGTAATAAATAATGAGAAGGATTTACAGAGAAGGAAATACAAAGCATTATGAAAATAAATTTCTGACACTTCCCCTTATCAAGATATTTACAACATTTTTAGATGTTGCAATGTGACATAATAATTTCAAATTGTTGTTATCGAGCATCTGTTACCAAACTGAAAAGGACCATTATCTTTTTTTTTCATTGTTTTCATTAAAAATTATCAATATGAATTTCCAAATTTCCCATTTGAATTTACATTAACAAATTGATAACCTGTTATAACAAATTAGTAATTTGTTATTACAAAACTTATTCGGTTTTTGTTGTGTTTAACAGGTTTACTATAATCCTATTGCTCCAGAAATTGGAACCCCTTTCTCGGAGACATTAGTAAAATTTTACTAATTATAATGTCATAAATATTTTGTATTTCCTAACTTTTTAACAGGGCCGTCACAGGTTTCTGAAAAGGGGATGCGAGGGAGGATTTGCGAGCGGTACCCATCCCTTTAGCCAGATTTTTAAAGAAATAAATTGTGCCATATTTGGTGGGTTTTGATGCATAGCAAGTCTTTCTTTTTCAAATATCAAATAAAGAAAATCTTGCAAGATTACTTTTAATAGATGAATAAGGAAATCATTTTCCCCCAAAAAATTAAGTACATGTGTATTTGGATTCGGGAGGGGGAGGGGGATAACACCCAGAAAACCTCCACTTCCCATGGCCTTGATCTAGTTAGAAAATTAAATATTAATAAATATCTAGAATTAAAAAAATCACATTTTGATTTTTTTTTAATCATTTATGATCACTGATCAACCATGTTTCTAGATCCTCTGTCTGGATCCCTACCCACCCCTTCCGAAATTGCTGGATCCGCCTCTGATCTTCATGATTCTCTTCAAATGTCTCACAGAAACAGTCAATACGTAAATCTGTTACAATGTCTTTTTTCAAGTTATTCTTTTACTCTATTCAAACAACCTGATATAATTCATGTCACCCAATCATTTCGTCACAAGCCTGCCGAGCCAATTCGTGTGGGGCTAAATTTCCTGGTTTATGGAACATCATAACTTGGTGTCCAAATATCTTGTCTAATTATGTTAAACAGAGTAAAAAAAAGGGGTTTTTTCTTTAATTTCATGTTTTACAACGAGTGGTCTTAAAACATTAATTTTGTTACTATCATTTCTATCCATGTCAAAGTAGCTTTTAATTACAGCCATCAGTAATGATATAATCTAGTGTTAATTCACACTCCTCAAATTGCTCTCTCAGCAGATAGGTAGTCATTTAGGAATATGTCCCTTTTCAATATACTTGAAAAGTCGCATAGCCTCCAGTTTCGAAAAGTTAAACTCACTCTGCAGATCTTCAACACTTAGTCCTGCTAAGATTTCACCATCCACCATTTCTTCCTGAAATATTTCAACGTATTTATTTAAACGTAAACGGCACAACACCTCTCCAATGTCTTGTATACTTTTCTCTTCTATATCGAATGAGTTTTTATCTAGTGTGTTCTCTTTTACCAATAGCTTTTGGCTGTGTTCGGGTTCGTCCACACAGGACGTTGAATGTCCTCTTTCACGGACAGGAGGTGTAATATCCGTGGAGCTCGAAACACTTGTATCTGGTAAGGATCTGCTACGAGGGTTTACATTTGGCTTTTCTGCAGGTATAGGGGGAGGGGCATCATCAGGTTTACTGATCAGAATAGGCTTTGATAGAGTCATATTTTCATCAGGGTTCTCCATAGGTTCATACATGTCCCCTTCCTCGTCATCAGCATCGTCCTCTTCAGCTACCAGTGGTTTCACTTGACACAACCTATCGTTGACGTAGCTAGGCGTTCCCGCCGCCGCTGCTACCCGATATGTGTTGATCTCTTCCATTGGCTGTTCCATGACCTCATAGTCCTCCCCTTCCTCATCCTCCTGCCTTACTGATTTCTTGAGCGACTCCCCTCTGGCGGGTCGAGGAGGGGGTTGACTCGCAGTAGCCTCGTTTTGATAAGTTGGGAGAACGTCTTTCAGTTCATCTGCATCAGGTTTCAGCACCTTGATGGCTGTAAAAACCAACAGGAAAACTTTGTACCCAAAAAGAATATTTCACTTTAATGGAAGTATATACAGAAGCAAATAGAAATAATATGTTTTTGTATAGATCCAGTTATCAGTATAAATTATAGAATTATCCTCAGTATCCGGAATATATTTGAAGATTTATGGTGTAATAAATAAATAAAACATATCACCTAGATTGCATTGGCTTTCAGAAAACGTTGTGTTTTTGTTGACATAACCCTCTAGCTTCTTAAGATATTTATCGTATTCCTTCTTTGTGCGGTCAGTAAAACCTTGGATCGGGGCCACCGTGATTAGTGGACACAGACTAAAACTGGATGGATGTTTAGTTATCTTGCCTTTAACAGAAAAATGAAAAAAAAATTATTTTGTCAATACAACCTTAGGCAATACAGCCATCAGTATATTTTATCAAAATATACCATCATCTAAAACAATGGACCTAAAGAACAATATCGATCTTTATATTATAGCCTCTTTTCCGCACAGCACTTAGGGAGGTATGGTCCTCTGCTAACATTTAATAACTCTAGCATTGAAAAATCAGTATTTTTTTCCTCCTAAACGTTATGATTTGTCTTAACTTTTACCCCGTGTAATTTTACAATGAACTAGATTTGCTTGATTTTCATAAATTCTCATTTTTCATAAGAATGGTGTCATTATTACAGAAAATTTCCATTTTTTGTAACAGATCGAGCCCTGATCGCTTTGCCTTAATTTTATATACTGGAACAGATATCGGTGCCTGTGATACTGACGCATAATTATTG